AGTTCCAATTTTGTGATACACTTGGCCACACAGCAAAATATTGCCCAAAGTTGCAATCATTACATGCCACAAAACATCATACTACCTCTGCAAAAGATAAGAAGTGGTTGCAGTAAGTTCTTGTGGAAGTGATGAAGCTTACTTTAGCTTGGTCTTCTCGGCTTAAGGGAATCTGATGATACACTTGAGAGGCATCCATCATACTCAACATCTCGCAACCGGCAGTTTAATCCACAAGCTGGTCTATTCGGGGGCAACATATAGTAATCTTTTGGGCATGCTTGTTGAAGTCTCTGAAGTCAATGCACATTCGCCACTTGGCTTCCCCCTTCTTGACTAACACTGCGTTGGACAACTATGTAGGAAAACGAATTTCCCGAATATGTCCCGCTATTAATAACTTACGCACCTCCTCATGTATTATTTTTTCCTTTTCTGATCCGAAATGTTGTCGCTTCTGTTTTATTGGCTTCGCGTTTTGTTTTACGTTCAGCTTATGCACAACCAGTTGCTCGTCAATACTCCCCTGATCCGGGGGCGAGAAGGTGAACACATCTTGATTGTTCCGCAAGAAATTTGTTAGTTGCTCTGATACGACTGCATCCATATTGCCTCCTATTCTGTTGGTTGCGAGACGCGTCCTTTTCACAAAGCTGGATTACCATCAACTCCTCCATTGGCTAAACATGAGCCTCCTCCTTTGTCGGGTCCACCTCCGTCCTTTGGTTCTCTTTTCCCCGGTTGCTACTCGCTTTTCCGGTTCGAATAACATCTATATTTCCTATTCTCCTTAAGGCATCATAATAGCAACTTCTAGAGGATTCTTGATCCCCTTGAACTTCTCAGATTTGATCCTGAACGGGAAATGTTAACTTCATATGATATGTCGAGACAACTTCCTGAAATAAGTTCAAGGAAGGCCGACCCAGTACAATATTGTATATAGAAGGCGCATACATAACCAAGAAATTCACCGACCGCGTAGCTCGCGTTGGCTCTATTCCAAGGGAAATGGGGAGGCACACCTCTCATACTGAACGCACTGATTCTTCAGAGAATCTTATAGATTCGTCTCCACATATTTTAACTTGAAGTTTATGTTTATTTTATTGAAACACTCGTAGTATATGATGTCGTCGGAACTGCCGGTGTCCACCAGTATTCCAGCGATGTCAAAATTGGCCACCATAACCGTAATTACCAGTGCATCAGAGTGGGGTTGCTGATTGCTTCTTAGTCTAGCTGACAGAAAAGGATGAGGGGGACACGTGAGACTCTTTGCACCTCTTCAAGCTGAGCCTCCATCTCGTATAAACGCCGAAGGTGCGCACGAATCACCCTGTCTGCCTCTTCCATTTCTCCGAATAACTCCTTCGTCTCTCACAACTGCTGAAGGTTTGCCTGCCGTGCCCTATTGCAATCTCCACCCGATGGTCCTCCCAGAATCATGCATGCTTATGAAATTACCCTGTGGCACGTGGTCCTTCATGTCGTTTTCGTTTTTTGCTTTTCTCTTACTGGTTCCTTTCGAGGTTCATTCGCACGCCGAGCAGGGACCAGTTGCGGGCACGAATTCCCCTCCTTTACGAACTCTAGTAGATTTTTCGCGCGTATCAACCTTTCGATTTCATCCCGAAGATGCTGGCACTCATTAGTAGTGTGACCATAATCGTTGTGGAAATGACAAAAGCTTCCCAGCGTAGGGCTTCTCTTTGGTACCTCCGCATAAGTGCACGGCCATTTTAGCTTTCAGTGATTCTCTATGTCTACCAATATCTCGCCTGGCGGTGCTACTAACTATACATAACTGTCGAAATGAGGTCCTACTCGCCTCTCGCTTGGTCCTTCTTTTTTAATCGACTGATTCAACCTGTGTATTTTATCCTCTTTCTTTTCCTTTCTTCTCTCGCCTCCGTCTTTGGCCTCACCAAATTTGTTATGCTCTGCTTCTTCTGCGTTCATGTACCGTTCTGCCTTTGTTAGCAAAACATTAAAGGAGAGAGGAGGCTTTTTAGAGAGTGAGGTGAAGAATTCTCCCGCACGCAATCCCTGGGCGAGGGCATTGATCAGGACCTCCTCCGAAGTGATTGGTACTTCTAGGGTAGCCGCAATGAACCGCTTGATGAAGCTTCGCAAGTACTCTCCCTCCCTTTGCTTAACCACGAACAAGGTTAGGGTGCTTCTTTTCTGCTTCTTTGAGCTTGCAAAGTGATCCGTGAATTAGGAACTCAATTGATCGAATCCGCTAATCGTGGCGGTTTACAGTTGGCTGAATCAAGTTTGGGCGGCGCCCGCTAACGTGATTGGAAAGACCCTGCACTTTACCCCGTCGGTGAATCGGTGCAATGTTGAAGTGTTGTTGAACCTACAGAGGTGTTCGAACGGGTCGGTAGTCCCAAGGTACTCGTAAGTAACCGGTTGAAACGAGTGCGGCAACTCGGTATCAAAGGCTTGTGGGTAGACTCATTTATCTAACACATACCAGACCTGATATAACATACGCCGTATGTATCGTGAGCTAATTTATGCATGAACCAAACAAGGGAAATGGAAGCGGTCAATAGAATTTTGAGATATCTTAAAGGTAATTCTGGCAAGGGTTTATTGTACTCGAAGAATGATGTCTTAAATGTTGAAGGTTATACTGATGCAGATTGGGTGGGAGATCAAACAACGAGGA